GCACAATTTTTGGCACAGGAGCCCAAAAAGGTTAGTCATCACTGGTATAAGGGGTCCTGCCTTGGGTTGGACTAGAAGACCTCCAAGATCCCTTGCAGGCCTCGGTTTGTATGTTCTATAATTTAAAAGCCCATTTTACCAATTCTACAGCTCGTCCTTGATTTACAACAGTTTCTTTAGTGGGCGTTCAACGTTAACAACAGCCGCACTGACGGATGGACTTAGGACCATTTTTTTTTCATGCTTAATGACCTTTGCTGTATCCCCGTGTTCACGTGATCAAAATTTGGATTGCTTGGCAGCTGACTTATATTTACGACGGTCGCTGTGTCACGTGATTTCCCCCTTGGCCGCCTTCCGACAAAGCAGATGTCAATGGGGAAGCTGGATTCACATAACACTTAATGGTCATAAGTGTGAAGAATGATCACAAGTCACTTTTTCCAGTGCCGTCGTAACTTTGAAACCATCAAAGCTGCTGTAAGTCGGGGACTGTTTATATTTTTTAGTTTTAGTGCAGGGTTTTAGCTTCCCCAAGCTGAGTAGTTCCGAATCAGCGATGAACAAGCTTCCTGCCTCCTGCCGAGTTCCATTGTAACACGCTTGTTTTCAATTAAATATGATTACAGATTTTGTTGTCCATCAGATTTTGCCCTATCAGTCAGTCTCGATTGACACCTTCAACTCCAAAAACGACGTCTATGTCGCCATTGCACAAACCAGCATGGAAAACTGCATGGTGCTGGAATGGGATCACATTGAGAAAAACTTCCGGAGTTACGACAACATCACCGGTAAAAAAACCTAATAAGCAATAATAAGCCCTTAGATTTATATACCGCTTCACAGTCCTTTCCAGCCCTTTCTAAGCTGTTTAGAGAGTCAGCCTCTTGCCCCCCAGCAATCTGGGTCCTCATTTTATCCACCTCGGAAGGACGGAAGGCTGAGTCAACCTTCAGCAGGTCAGGATTGAACTGCTGGCAGTGAGCAGAGTCAGCGTGCAATACTGCATTCTAACCACAAGGAAGGAAGGAAGGAAGGAAGGAAGGAAGGAAGGAAGGAAGGAAGGAGAGAATGAAGGGAGAGAAGAATATTAAAGGGAAGGAAGGAGGGAGGGAGGATAAAGAGAAGGAGAGAGGTAGATATTAACAGGAAGGAAGGAGGGAGGGAAGGCTAGCAATAGACTTATATCCCACTTCACAGTGCTTTCCAGCCCTCTCTAAGTGATTTACAGAGTCAGCCTCTTGCCCCCCAATAATCTAGGTCCTCATTTTACCCACCTTGGAAGGAGGGAAGACTGAGTCAACCGTAAACCAGTCAGGATCGAACTGCTGGCAGTCAGCAGAGTTAGCCGGCAATACTGCATTCTAACCATTGTGAAGGAAGGAAGGAAGGAAGGAAGGATAAAGAGAAGGAAGGGAGGGAGGAATATTAAAAGGAAGGAAGGAAGGAAGGAAAATACCAATAGCACTTATATACCACTTCATAATGCTTGCTAATGCACATGCCCTTGCCCCTCCCACAAAATCACCCCCTCTTTCCCCCCCTCCCCCTGCTCCAGGCCCCCTCACCCCAGAAAGATTGGGGGACCCCCACTTTAAAGGAAGGCCTGGCTTAAACCGCAGGTACGTACAGTTTTGTCCTGTGCTCACCTTACCCCTTTCGTTTTGAGCCCACAGGCCAGTCCATAGTGGGTTGCAAGGCCATCTTGATTGATGACCAAGTCTTCGTGGTGGTAGCTCAGCTCTTCGGTGGGTCCCACATTTACAAGTACGAGGAGAGCTGGACCAAGTTTGTCAAGTTCCAGGACATCGAAGTCTCCCGCATCTCCAAGCCGAACGACATCGAGCTCTTCCAGATCGAGAGTGAGACCTTCTTCATCATTGCGGACAGCTCAAAGGCCGGCCTGACCACCGTTTACAAGTGGAACAACAAGGGGTTCTACTCCTACCAGTCCCTCCACGAGTGGTTCCGGGACACAGACGCTGAATTCGTGGACATCGATGGGAAGGCTCACTTGATCCTGTCCAGCCGCTCGCAGATTCCCATCATCCTCCAGTGGAACAAGAGTTCCAGAAAGTTCCTCCCTCACAGCGAGATACCCAACATGGAGGACGTGCTGGCAGTGAAGAGCTTCCGGATACAAGGCAGCCTCTACATCTCCCTCACCCGGTTCATCGGTGACTCCAGAGTCATGAAATGGGACAGCAAGCAGTTTGTGGAGATCCAGGCTGTTCCTTCCAGGGGTGCCATGACCCTGCAGCCTTTCTCCTTCAAGGGCCACCATTACCTTGCCCTGGGAAGTGACTACACCTTCTCCCAAATCTTCCAGTGGGACGAGGAGAAAAGCCTCTTCCAAGTCTTCAAGGAGATCTACGTCCAAGCGCCGCGGTCCTTCACGGCGGTCTCCACGGATCGGCGGGATTTCTTCTTCGCTTCCAGCTTCAAGGGCCACACGCAGATATTCGAACACGTCGTGGTGGACTTGAGTTTATGAAGCAAGCCCTGAGCATGGGAACTCGTGCAAGGAAACAAAGTGGAAAAAGAAAAAGAACAGATTGTTCACTTTTGATAGCTAGAGAGAGAACCCTTGGCATTACTCAGCAAGGGGTTTTGGTTTTGTTTTCGAGTTTTTTTTTGGAACTTTTTAGAAGTTTGCCTATTTAATCAGGGAATGCATTAACTTGGTTAAGTGCATGCCAGGCCAATTTCACCCTTGATGAGAGGTGTTTTTAAAGCCTATTATTGCTCAAAAGACAGTGCACAAGGCATCGATTCTTTAAAAAAATGATGCAAAACTAAAAAAGGAGGAAGAGCGGGGAAGGTGGGATGAACAACCGGCAGAAACAAACAGGAAGGAAGAGCGGCAAGCAAGGACTCTGCTAGGAGAAATGATGGCTTTTCCTCTTCTTCGGGGACTTTGAGGCGGAAAGCAATCCCTCCTATGGATTTGGGGTTTGCAACTGTTAGTATGCGGATGAGAAAGCCTGCTCACAGGAGGCGGTCCCTTGAGGACGGAGTAGTTCTGTTTCTGGAGCCTGGGAAATTAAGTGAGGGAGGCTGACAAAAGATGATTGGTAAAAAGAAGAGGAGGAGGAGGAGGAGGAGGAGGACTGTGGGGTCCTTGGTGCTCTCTGAGCTGGGTTGTTTTCTTGCAAATGTTTCATAACCCAACTAGGTAATATCATCAGTATTACAAGGGGGTAGTGTTTGCAAAGAGGAGAAGAAGAGAGGGGAAGGGTGAGGAAGAGTAGGAGAAGGAAGGAAGGAAGGAAGGAAGGAAGGAAGGAAGGAAGGAAGGAAGGAAGGAAGGAAGGAAGGAGAGGATTGTGGGGTCCTTGGTGCACTCTGAGCTTGGTGTTTTCTTGCAAACGTTTCATAACCCAACTAGGTAATATCAGTATTAGAAGGGGGTGGGGTTTGCAAAGAGGAGGAGGAGAAGGGAGGGGAAGGGGGAGGGAGAGGAGGAGAAGAAAGGAGGAAGAGGAGGAGGAATACAGTGGGGTCCTTGGTGCTCTCTGAGCTTGGTGGTTTTCTTGCAAAAATTTCATAACCCAACTAGGTAATATCGTCAGTATTAGAAGTGGGTGGGGTTTGCAGAGAGGATGAGGCGAAGGAGAACTCGGTTAATATTCCTCCCTACTTGGCTAGTAGGTAGACTTGCATTCAATAGTCCATCAGAATGAATACGGGGAGATTGATTGCTAAATTAGATTTTATCAGAAGTTTACAGCTGCTGAAGGTGAAATCATTTTAATACTGACTGCAAAAACAGGCGTTTGACATGACAGCTCTGCATTCAGCCTTTTCCTCTCCCCACCATTATGTTGTACATTATGTCTCTTAATCTGAGCCTTAGGCACAAGTCAAGCTTAAATTCTTATTTTAAAAACTTTTGATCCCAGTGATAAAGATGTACGCATTCCTTTGAAAGATCTGGGAATTAATAGTCCTTTGGCTGAAACTCCTCCTCCTCTTTCCAAAACTCTGCATTGAAAGGATAAAGAAATATCTGAGACAGAGAATGAATTTGGAGGGGAGTTGATCGAGTTGAATTTCCAGATCAAATATTGGATTGATCCAAAAGTTGATGGGAATTATTGGAGTGAATTGGTTGCGTTCTCATCGATTTCAACCATTTTTCAGTACTATAGACGGGAATAGCTTTTTTTCTGAATTGGATGCAGAAATCCAGTTTGACTCCGCTAAGCAATTGAACTAAATTAATTTTTCCCAAATCTCTTTAATGTTTTAAATGTATTTATGCATAAATTATATAGTTGGGACACTTTTTATGTAATCCATTAATTGGTGTTTTCCCCCCCGAGATTGCTTACCTATTTTATTCACTGCAACCTTGAAAAACTTAACTCACACAAATCTGGCAGACGTGATTGGATAATTGGGAAAAACATGTCAATTTGGTAGGTAGCTATCCGTCCAGCTTCCAATGATTAAAAATTCCAATACTCTGTTGCAAAAAAAAAAAAAGCTTTGAGTTTCTTTTATTGCATGAGAACAATAAAATTCAGAGCTTTGTGGCATTTGAGGATTGAGTAGGAGAGGAGAGTTGGGTCCCAGAAGTCTATTATAATTTTTGAAATGTCCTGATGATGATTTTTTTTTCCAACTAATGTATTTCCAAACAGAAAATGAACCTTATTATGATCATTATCAGTGATAATGGCAGCATATTAACTTGTCCAGACTGATCTCTTAAAAGGCTTTACAATAATAAATATATAGTCTAAAATGCATTACCAAAATAAATATAATATCTATGTGCTTTGTTCTGTCCAGGGTTAAGACAATCCTTGGTTACAAACACCTGCATACATTCTTTTTTAAAAAGTCTCTCTTTTTAAGGCCTGGAAACTAGTGATTCTTACCCAAACAGAATTCAAATTTGTGGTCTTGGCAACACAAAATTGTCTATTTCCCCAAACTGAGCAAATCTTAGCAGGGATTCTGTTTCCTCCTTGCTAACAGTGGTGATTCAAGCAACGCTACACTCCTGCCCCAGCAATAATAATCTTATGCTTCTGAACCCCAAAACATATTTTCTCCTTAGCATGAAGCCTTTTCAGAGGTCCTTTGCTTCTTTATTCCCAATCATCTTCTTTGAATGACCCCATAATCCCTTGCAGTATAGAGTCAAGGCAACTGAACAAAGCTAGCAAGGTGTTTATTGGCCAGATGCCTTTCCTGTTGCCAATGTGGAGTTTTGTTCAGCAGATATATTCTCATTGTGAGAGAGAAAAATAGCTGCCTCTACCTAGGATTGAACTCACAGCCTCCTGATTGTAAGGCGAGAGCTCCACCTCTAGGCCAATTCACTGCTCAATTCCCAAGAATAGAAGAACCAAGTGTAAAGTAAGCATCTCTCACCATGGTCCACATCTGTTATCTCACAATTATTAAAAAATGTTTCATTTAGCAACAGAAATGTTGAGCTCAATGGCAGCCATAAGTAAGCCGAGGGACTACCTGTATTCAAATTTGGGGAAATTAAAGGTGTGGAAAGGGGCATGAGTTTAGCACCATGAATGGCTTGGCTTTTAAAGCCAGGAATTGTACATTGTTCCAACCTTTTGATCATCCTTCATTTGTGAAACGGAATCCATCTATTTCAGTCAAAATTGGCTTCAGGCAGGCATACAAACATCCAGAAAATAAAAATCAATTGTCCTGATCTTGCTGCAGGGAATGTAGTTAAAAGTTTCTCTCTCTCTCTCTCTCTCTCTCTCCCTCCCTCCCTCCCTCCCTCCCCCCCCCTCTCTCTGCGTGTGTGTATGCATGTATGTATCTCCTTGCTGGACTGGGCGGGATCCAACAAACATCCACCTTGGAATAAGGTTTAGCTATGTTAGGGACGCAGTGGCTCAGGGGCTAAGATGCTGAGCTTGTCAAACAGAAAGGTTGCCGGTTCATAGGTCGAATCCCTAGCGCCGCGTAATGGAGTGAGCTTTTGTTCCTTGTCCCAGCTTCTGCCAAGTTAGCAATTTGAAAGCAGGTAAAAAATGCAAGTAGAAAAATAGGGGCCCCTTTGGTGGGAAGGGAACGGTGCTCCGTGCGCCTTCGAAGGCGTTTAATCCTGCCGACCACATGACCACGGAGACGACTTCGGACAGCACTGGCTCTTCTTTGGTTTTGTAACGGAGATGAGCACCGCTCCCTAGAGCCGGAAACGACTAGCACATATGTGCATTTACCTTATGTTACTAACCAGCAGGTCCTAGGCTTCTCATAAATGCTGGTCAAATTGGGCTTTGCTAGACGGAATCGATGGAGGGTTGATGCAAAATTTTGGTGGATTCTATCCTGATTTAACCGGAACATATGTAATTGGTACTTTTAATTAAAAAGAGTAATATATGGAGGTAACTCAACGGACCCTGAAGCCTGAAATATATATCTGCAGAAGCTTCCCTTCTCCCATCCAAAACAGACAGATACAGAATACAAAACTTAGCAAAATAAACTGGTTTGGTCTCTAGTATGCAACATCTTCCAACAAAATGGTTATCCACACAAGTGCCTGACCCTTCAACCCAACATAGCACAACCAACACATTCTGTGAAAAAGATAATGCTGTCATATATCAAAAACATCTCAGAAATCACTGTTACAACCACATGGCATAAACATAGCACGCAACTAAATCCCTTCAGTGGATAAGGTGTCAGGCTAGAAACTGGGAGACTATGAATTCTAGTCCCATCTTAGGCATGAAGCAGAAGGATGAGCTTCGGGCCAGTAGTTTTCTCTCGACCCTAGGAAAGAGATAATGGCAAAACACTTCTGGAAAAAAAAACATTACTGAGGAAACTTCAGGAACTTATCCAGGCAATCATCAGGAGTCAATTTTGACTCAAAGGCAGATGATAGATGACAGGTAGGTAGGTAGGTAGGTAGATATAAATGATAGATAGATAGATAGATGATAGATAGATAGATAGATAGATAGATAGATAGATAGATAGATAGATAGATAGATGATAGATAGATAGATGATAGATAGATAGATGATAGAGAGGGGAGAGAGAGAGACACACACACACAAAGAGATGCATACAGCAGCAAAATAATAATAATCAAAATTAAAGAGAGTGGCCCTGGATCTGATCTGATCTGATCTTCACTTTCTTCTTTCAAGGAAATTGTTTTCTAAATCCCTCTCCTCCAAACTCTAGGTTTAAAGGGCAAGTTTTGAGCAATTTGTTTCATCAGGCAGATGTCACATTAATTAACTATAATGTTCTGTTGATTTCATTGGGACCAGTGTCTTTGTCCTGGGACAAGCCTAGTTAATGGGCCCTATATCCAGTTCACCACAATGTTATCTGTAGTGAGTTAGTGAAACATAAACTACACCCCATCCAGAAGTGAGCTCTCCATCCTTCACCATCCCTTAGTTTAGTTTAGTTAACTTTATTGTCATTTCACCTCGTACAATGAAATCAAACACTATCCTTCTCCCCCCTAAGCGATACAGAATATACTACAGAATAACAGAGTTA